CCATCCTGAACACAAGTTCAGAGGGCCAGAGGCTTATGTCCCTTATGGCTGGCATTGACCTGGATTTCAGTCCTGGTTCTCCTTCCACCCATCTTTTCTGGCAGAAGGAGCACACGCTGCACATGCTGAGAGCACAGGCCTGCATCAGGACTGGCCTTCTGGCCAGCATGAGCGTGCTCGCGGGACCCGAGTGTCTGGGAGGAAGGGCTTAGTGAGGTTGTGTAAAGCCCAGAAGAAGCACTAGCTGGTAGATCTACACGAAATGGCTCCCCAGTGGCTGAAAAGAATTATTGAGGCTTTCTAAAGTGACTCATTCCCTCTCCGGGGTCATCTGGGCTCAGGGAAAACCTGTCTTGCTGATTATTAGTAATTTAATGGTGGTGGTGATGGACTTCTGATAACCCAGAGATCCGCTTTAGCTTTACCGGCAGAAGTCTGCGGTCTGGGAGTCAAAGGTCAGAGCTTGTGTGTATGTGTCTGTTGTCTGTCTGCTTGTCTCTTTCGGTTTCTGTCCCTGTCTCTGCCTCTCCCCCCGCCTCTGCCTCCCCTCTCCTGTGTGTACTAGGGAGGAGGACACACAGAAAGTCTACTTCTCTGAGCCCGAGTCTCAGTCTTGCCTTCACCAGGGACAAACAACACTCTCTGGAAAGACAGTCCAGCAGATAAAGTGTTTGCTTCTGACCCCTCCCGAGAACCCAGGTGAAAGGCTGAGAGGATGAGACGGCCAACCTGCCATCGCTGTGCAGGGGGAAGAGACAGAAAATGTGGCACTGGCTGGCAGTGAGACTCCTTGCTTTTGCACTGGATTCCGGGAAAACCCTGCCTGGATACAGAAGCTGCAGAGTGGAGAATGATAAGACGGCATTGGACCACAAACCCTGGCCACCACACGTGCAACAGGCACGCGTGTGGACATGCACACGTGTGAACACAAACACACACATGCACAACCATGCACACATTAAAAGAGACAGAGAGGGACAGTGGGTGCCACCTGATTCTCACCAGCGTTGGCTCTGAAAACCTAGGCAAACTCTCTCTAGGCAATGGGGACTGTTGACTCTACTTGGGCTTTTTCAAAAGTGACAAGGGGCACTAATTTTTCTACTCAGGTGCCACTGTTTAGGATGATGGAGACCAAAGCTGTTCTTTGTCTGAGAATGAAAACCAGGCCAGCGGAGGCCATCAAGTGTCCACTTGATCCTTCCCCTTCTTTTCCTATTGTGCCCTTCAAGCCCCCCTTTTGTCATGGGTCGATTCCCGCATGATGCTTTGTGACTGGACCCCTTTTCACACATACCTCTCAGATAGGAAGCAAGCTCAAAACTACCCACCGGCCCTTCTGTTCCCCTAAATAGAGTCTGTCTTCTCTCCTTCTGACATGGTGGGAAGTGTAGCTGTGCATGTGATCAAGGGGTGGTTGGCAAAACTGCCTTATTATCCTATTATTTCCAGGAGCTTTCTCTGGGGGGCAGGGGTGTAAGCAATCTGTTCCCTAAGTGTATCACTTGATGGGCCATTTACTGTGACAGTACCAAGAAAACAAGCGCCTGGAGGGGACCATACATTTCCCCAAATGAGACTTAAAAGTCACAACTTCAGGAGAAAGAAAGGAAGGAAGGAAGGAAGGAAGAAAGAAAGGAAGACAGACAGACTTGGACTACAGGCTTTAGGCGTATCTTCGAGCCCATGCCAGGAAGAAGCCAGTTTGAGATGGCAGAGACAGGTAGGTGACAGCCAGTGGACGAACCACAAAACCTTCCCTGGAGCAATGCTTCTCCAACTGCAGGTCAAGAGTGATTACTGGGTCATGAAATCAATTTAGTGGGTCATGACCAGAATAAAAAGCAAAACAAAACATGAAATAAATGAGATGGGAGAAGAACAGAGGGTCCTAGAGTGAGTGTGACATGGGGGTCACAGAGCAGCGCGTGGCACCTCGCTTCAGGGATGAGTGTGTGCGTGAGTATGTGCAAGGTGTGTTTGGTATACCATGTTCCAATGTGTAATGTATTTCCTACTGAGGGTCAAACGTTTTGAAACTATTAACACACAGACAGACAGACACACACACACACACACACCCCGCATTCCCAAGGACCTGCTCTGGTTGTTTGTTTTGTTTTGGAGATAAGGTTTCTTCCCAGTAGCTATGGAGCCTGTCCTAAAGTCACTGTGTAGAACAGGATCTGCCTGCCTCTGCCTGGGATTAAAGGTGTGTGCCACCACTGCCTGACCTGTTCTGTTTGTTTTTTGGTTTTTTTTTTTGTTTGTTTGTTTTTTTGGTTTTTCAAGACAGGGTTTCTCTGTGGTTTTGGAGCATGTCCCGGAACTAGCTCTTGTAGACCAGGCTGGTCTCAAACTCACAGAGATCCGTCTCTACCTTGCAAGTGCTGGGATTAAAGGCGTGTCCCACCACCGCCTGGCTTTTTTTTTTTTTTTGACAAAGTAAATTTATACACAAGCAGAAGAAATCCTCCTCTCTTAATCTTTGATTAAGCCATCCTGAAGTTCTACCTTTTGTTCTCTGAAAAACACTTAAGCTGAGTGGATCCTGGTTTTCTATCCCCTGGGGGATTTTCCCAGCTCTCACAGACACCCTGGTGTTTGTACATTTTTACTTCCCTTTTTCAGTTTATTTCCTATGATGACAGCTGGCCAAGCGCATTAAACAATAGTGTAAAGATGTCAATGCCCCATTCCAAACCAAGACGTTGATATTTCAGGCACATTGAAGCCCCATGCCATTGGAAAGAATCAATTGCACTCCAGAATTTAGCTGCAAGGAAGGACATTTGAAAAATGACGACTTTCCCGGCATCCCTGATGGCTAACTGGGGGCTAGCCTCATTCACTGACTAACCTTTTCTTTTGTATATATATATTTATACACATGATCATAATTAATACACATAATTATTCCACTGCTGATTGTTAAAACACACATCTCTGCAGCTGTGTTTCTTAAAGAACTTTGCTGTTCTTTCTTGTTTTGAGTTGAAACAGGGTCTCGTTCTGTAACCCCAGGCTGGCCTTGAACTCACTGCAAGCCCCCTACCTCAACCTTTTGGTTATTGGGATCACAAGAATATGCATCCATACCAGGTTGGTTTTTGTTTTTCCTTTAAGGAATTCCATACAAATATTATTTACAACATTGTTAGAAACGTTAAGAAGAGGTATCTTTATCTCATCCAACCTCATACTCATACAACTAACTTGCTACTTGGCTATTTTATGGGTTGCTTTGGTTATTCATTACAATACAATCATACCATCCAGTAACACTTGATTCATACTGTTTCCCAGTGCCATGTTAATAATGTAAGACTGAATATAAGACTGTTAGACCAAGACTGAGCCTTTTATCAAACAACTATGATAAAGACAGTACCCCTCACTGTGCCTGCAGTATGTCAGACCTGCAGGGCTCAGTGCCTTTTGCATGCATTCATGTCCCTCCTAGCAGAACCACCTCAACACAAGCATCGCATATGTAGTCTTATAGGCGAGAGCACCAAGACTTGGCAACGCCCGATCCCTGCCCGTGGCAGACACAGCTATAGACCCAGAAGATGTCATTCAGCTCAAGTCTACCTAATTGCTCCTACTCTGCTTTCCCCGTTTATTTATACCACTTCACCTTCCAGTTGCTGGCAAAAACACTTTCAGTTTTAAGTAGCTCATAGGTCCTCTTAGGGACATGGCTATGAATATAAAAGCACTCAGAATATGAAAGTGTCTGGTTTTTGCTTTTTAAATAAAGGATGCTCTGTCACAGTGTGCGTCTCTACACTACTCTGAGAGCACCTGGCCTTATCATGCTTGCTCAGAGCTTTCTGTTTGGTCTCTGTGGCCAGGTCGTGTCACCCTCAGCCACCTTTCTGGGTAGCAATAAAGGGCAGGAGAATAAAGGGCAGGGTGCACCGCTGCCGAATGCTGGTGGCATTTTTGTTTCCACCCACATCCGTCCCGGTGCTGCAAGACTTCTATGACAAACATCATTTCCCCCAGCACACAGCTTCATGGTTCCCTACCCCTCAGCCTGCACAACCCATTTTAACAGTAAGCCTTTCGGCTGAAAGTCTACATCACGCTGGGTATCAGAAGCCATAGACACTGCTCATCACCTCCCCCACCATGACAGCAGAAGCACAACGTTGATTTTTTTATAATGAAAAGGCCTGAGAAAATCAAAGTTAGGATTTTGCTTACGTCGGGAATGGAATGATTAGTAACAAAATGTGGCTTGGTCATCACTCAGATTCCAAACTCCTAAATAACTTTCCTGTATTAATTCAGTTTTAAGTTTCAGGAAATAAAATAATTATGGAGTTAAACAGAGATCCTTATGCAAACAACTGCCGTGTTTACAACGTCCCAATCCATTTGCTGAAACCACAGAGATTTGCAAGAAACCCAGCAGACAAACACTCACCATTGGCTTACTCCCTATGCAATAGCAGTCAGCATCCTACTGGCATCTGCTCGGAAAACAATGCTTTTACCACCCTAATGTCAAGGCAAACAAACAATAAATGCCTATTTGATTCTATAAACCAGTGGTATCGTTTGCACTTTGCAGGACCCGAGCAGTTAAATACAAGCATTTTTCTCCTTTGAAAAGAAACCTTCAAGATGACATCATTATAAGATGGTTTGTGACTTGACCGTTTTTTTTTTTTTTTAAAAAATGAGTTTAGTAGCTGTTTCATGTTATATTTGGAGGGAAACAAACCATCTCTTTGAGTTAAAAGCGTTGAGTGCATTATGCTATATGGAAACAAAACTACTTAAATGTCATGTTAAACACCATACCCCAATTGGGAGCTACACAGAACGAAAGCCCTATCGAGTCAAGCTATAGTAACCCTGCAGTAATGGTCATAAAACGCTCTCTTCCTTAAGTCATATACACAAAAGGAAAACCTATTCTAAGCACCGAGAGCATAAGGAACGGTCAGAACGGTCAGAGGAGGGTAGGTCATGACTTGGCATACCTTTAGTTCCCTGAAGAAGATACTACTCCTGGCCCACTCAACAATGGTGAAGAGCGTCTGGTCCGCCATTTTGCACATAAGCCCAAACGTGTTCAGTTTTTCGTGCTTGCCTCGGTTTGCCTGCTCTTGCTGTAAGAAACTCGAGATTTTCACTTGAATTTGAGGCTCCTCTCGTTCACACTTCAAAAGTTCCAGTATCAGGTGTGGAATGCTGGCTGGCGAGCTGGTCTGGTAACCATCCATGTAGGGGTATCCCATCATTGACTCCGGCGAGCTGGTGTAGGGATCTGGGTACTCGGACTTGATGGCCCGGCTAGGAAAGTGACCATATGGTTGGTAACCTTGCAGGCTGCCATGGGGAGGCATTGCCATGCTAATGGGAGACGTGACAAAGGGACTCCTGTCATAGTCTGTGGGAGGCAAGGCAGCATGGTTCAGAGGTAGGCCTTTAGTAGAATGCATGTTTTGGATTGCTGAGGAGATGGTCAGATCCGAGGGCATCGCTTGGATCACCTGAGACATGGCTTCCAGCTTAAGTCCATTGGCCCGAATGAGGGCTTTCTTCTGTTGCTTTAGGGCCCTGTCTCTCTTGTACATTGGCCCAAACTTATTTCTGCCTCCTCGCATGCGGTCAGCTCTTACGGCTATTGACAGAGGAGAAAGGAAGGGTATACAAGAGGGAGTTAGTAGCATTCTGCAAGATCTCTAGGCATTTCAAAACATTGATAATTCATAGGAAGTGAATTGTATGTGTGTGCCTGTGTGTGTGTATGTGTTTCGAGAGAGGGTTTCTCTATAGCTTTGGTGCCCTTCCTGGAACTAGCTCTCATAGACCAGACTGGCCTTGAACTCAAAGATCCGCCTGCGTGTGCCTCCTGAGTGCTGGGATTAAAGGCCCACCACCACCCTGCTAAAAAACCAAGATATTCCAGGAAAAAAAAATGTCTTCTGACAAATTCTTTCCTTTAAGTGGGTTTTGTTATCAAAAAACATATTTTGGGTAACCAAGAAAGTATTAGTCCATTGTGGACTTAAAGGTTTCACAACAGATTTTTAATATTCATAGAGGGGCAGGTTCCTTTCTGGGTGGGCCAGTTTCTAGTATGCAAGCTATGCCATGGCTTCTCGTGGAAATCAAATTGTATACCTGCTGTATATCTGGGTGGGTTTGTGTGCATGGCACAAGGACCATTTTTCTTTTTCTTTCTTTGTTTTAAAGAAGAGAATAAGCCCATTCTCGGTTAAGTAGTTTTTCGCCCAGCATCTTCCTCCTGTCTTGTGATTTTTGGATACTTTGTTACAAAAGTTAGTTAGGGCGAGGCTCTTGGAAAACCCCTTTCACCTGGACTTGATGAGACCACCTCAGAAAACCACCAGCCACGCTTTGAATTTAAGTGGGATTGGTCAGAAGGACAAACAAAGTCATTCCAGAGTTGTCCAGGGGCTCTGCTGAGCCACAGTGGTGTGGCCGTCAGTAGAGCTCTCTAGGTCCACCACAGTGGCCAGCGGTGACTGGACAGAACCCAGCAACCTTTCACAGTCTGGGACACGTTGAGACTGCTGGAAGTCAAGGATAAGCATTCACACTAAAAATTTATTGTGAATTCTAAGTACCCACAATTCTACACTGGGTCCTAAGAGTTCTCCAGTGAGATAATTTATCAAACATTTTGCTGTATGGCTGTGATGGGCAATTCACACACAATTAGCGCAGCGAAATACTGAGGCTAAAAACACACAATCTCTTTTCTTTCACTGAAAAATGAAGTGACATTGGATGAAATGACATCAGTTGAGTTTCAGCATTCCATCTTCTGCTCTTGTAGTTAACATCTGCCACTGTTTGGCAACTAAAGGGACTGATGATGAAATTAATAAGCCTCCATTATTTCCCTTCTCAATCTCCTCCTGAAAATAGTCCCTGTGCTCACCAAAGTGGCTGCTCCTATTTGAACAAATTTGCTAGCAATTTGGCAGATTTACCCCAAAACACAACTCATTTAATTTTTTTTTCAGGATATCTGCCAAGAGTAAGTTCTAGGTGACAGAAAACCTCCAAATAAACGTAGCTTGTGTCTCCTCGATCAAATGAAGTGCATCCTAGGCCAGTGCTGGTTCCCCGCCATGTTACATTATTTGCAGTCTGTTTAATCTGTGGAAGGCCAGAAGGTCAAAGGCTGGAGAATAACAGCACGCCATAACAGTCATGAAGTCCAAATTATTTACAGCGGTCACATATTAACCCCGCTGCCTGCCAAGCTGTACCCCACGGCACTTTAACAGTTCAGTGGGACTTTCTAAGGACCCTTCTCTTGGGCTCAATGCTACTGATTTGGGTCCATTGCCTTGCATGCTGTCTGCTTCCCGGCTGTTGAATTGTATAGCTGCAGTCATTACCTTTTCCTTTAAAAAAGAAATAGATGTATACCTTTCTGCTATTAAAAAATAAAAGTCCATATAAGAAATTCCTTTCACAATGTAAAATTAACTTTTCTCAAGAACTGTCAAATGAACAACAAGTATGACAAGCATACCAATTTTCTTTAAAAAAAAATACTAGGGCATCTTGATTTAGAAAGAATTAAGGTTTTATTTTTTTCATTTTATTTTTCAATTCTTTACAAATTAATTGCATTTTTTTCTTGGTAGAGTTGCTTCCATCTTGATGACTTTTTTGATATCATACTCCAAACTAAAAAGGAGAGCAGAACAACTTCTATAATTCTCTTTTGTTCCCCAGTAGATGTTACCAGGTTTAAACGACAGACGAAACAAAAAAAAAAAAAATATTTCCCATCATTCTCGATAGTGTTAAAAGACTAGAAAAGGAATGTCCCCATGCTCCATGTTCTAAAGTTTATGTCCCGGGAGACTTAATTGGCAGAGTCTTACCTTCTAGCTTCATTCCAACACTTAGACATTTCTGGAATCGACAATAAGGACAACGTTTTCTCTGTGTCTTGTCAATTTGACAGTTCTGGTTTTCTATACATGTGTACCTTTTATTGTTCTGGACTGTTCGCTTAAAAAACCCCTACAAGACAGAGAAAACAGTGAGGTAAAACCTGCTTCTCCTATTATTGTGCTCTAAGGAAATCGCCAGAAAACCCTTTCAATGTGCCCGTGAGCCCTTATGTGGTTGATTCACATCACAGTAAGACCAGCCCTCCACAGCAGTGCTGGCCTCAGGGAACAGTTTTCTGGCCCCAGGATTATATTCCTGAAGAATTATGTCAATTTCATACCATTTCATTCCGATAGCCAAAAAAAAAAAAATACACTCTATATTGACCAATTTTTTTTTAAATCTGGTTTCCGATTAATTAACATTAATGTTCCAAACAGAGGTAAGACACAGAGCCCTGCATTGTTTTTTAGGTAATATCAAGCCATTTCGGTCACACACCATTGTAAAATGCCAGTGTTAGAATGAATAGCAAAATACCTCAGATCTTTTACAAATGTCAACACTCGGCAGTTAAAAGGAAAAGGACTTCAAGAGCAAAATGGGGAAATGCTCCTAATGCCAATGGAACCCATTCAAGGGTGGGAACTGAGCTTTAAAAATTCAGCTAATAGAAACACTCCGCACACATGCAGAGACACGCGCACAGCCCACGGCGCTGAACTGATGCCTGCCTCGCACTCCACGGGACTGCTCAGAGGTATAGTGTATGGCTTCCATATAGAGTTGACACCTCGTAACCTTGCTTATCTGACTGACCGCAAATGAACAATCTTATTTTGTTGTGGAAAGTGAATGGGGGGGGGGGGGTTCCTAGCAGTGGTTTAAATAAAGGCAGTTTTCTACTTCAAAGAGTATGTTGAGAAAAAATACAGAAAACTGAATTTATGGAACTATAAAAAACCTGACACAAATCCTTAAGATCTTGACAAGAGTAGTAATAAAGGATAGTAACCGTACGCAAAGTCCCTGCACATAAATAAGTCACGTGATACACTTAAGAAAACTGTTCAATCAGAAACTAAAAATCTTATTTCGTGGTATCTTGATATAAATTCCAAAAGAGAAAAAAAAAGCCTTTAAATTACATTTGGGATCCATCAGGATGAAACGATGCCGTTGGGAATTCAGATTTTCATGTCTTCTGGGCTAAGAAAAAGATTCCAACTTGAGGCAGAGATTACTCTGAAGTTAAAGTGTTCTTGGGATGCACTGTCACGTTTCAAGAACGATGTTTTAAATATATATAAATCAAGCAGAATCAATATTTAGGACTGTTAGAAATGAAGTCCTCTGATAGATACATCATTGTGCCACAATAAACTAGTTTAAAGTCGCCAGACTGGCAAGTTTTCTATAGAGCATAGGTATCTTTGCCTTTTGAACTAAGTCAAACATATTTTAAGTTACTGGTCTCCCTTTGGCACCTCTCCCTCCATTTTTTTAGTTGAAAAAAAAAAAGGAAACAGCTTAAGTTTAGCTTTGAAGGCTAATCCAGTGGTTTGTTTTCTGGTCTGAGCATTCTATTTTTTGGTAGCAGTAAAAAAAGCGAACCTTGCAGCTTTCACAGGTAAGGAGACCATAATGGTACCCGGACACTTTGTCTCCACACACAGGACATAGCTCTTCGAGATCTTCATCATAGGAGTAATTCACCATTTTAAATTGAGACACTGAAACAAAAAGAGAAATGTGCACACGTGCCCTATTAATTCCCAATATAGGCATTAAAGCTGGAAAAACAAAGGCGTTTTGGTGATTGATGACGAAATATCATCAGGAAAAATATAAAATGTTTACCCAACTGGCATTAAAGAGAACTACTTTTACACAATGAAAGGAAAACACCTCTGGGCATCAGTGAACATGCACTTCATGGTTTTTAAATTTAAAAATAATTCCAACTTTTTTGGTTAATATTTTAAACTGACCACTGTTCAACAAAAGCCAACAACAGATCAGAATAGAAACATTGAACCATACAAAGCAACAACCTTATATTGCTTTTAAGCCTCTAACATCCCCAAATGTCACCTTTGCCTAAGAGAGTAAAATCAGGCTTTAAGTAACTGATACACTCTTGAAGGGGTTGGCTCTAAGTATACCTCACTTTGCGAGGCTAGCAATGCTAATTTACACGTGCTACTTGGAGAGCAATGAAGCCCCAGAAACCTGCTTCTCAGAAGCAAATGCCCCCCCCCCCCCCCCTTTAACAACAGCCTGTGGCTCCCAAGGTTCAAGTCTGTTAGATTAACCAAAACATTCAGTTCCGTATTGACTGTAGTTCAGTTCTGGCCACTTTCATCTCCTCACGTTTGAAAATGTCCTATGAAAATCAAAACAAGGAAGAGGACAGGACACCCGGAAGGGGGGCAGAAACAGACAAGGAAAAGAAACACGCACGACGGTTTAGCAAAGTTCTAGAGCTTGGTAAGGAACGTCACAAGTTTCCCATAAGCACTGCAAAGCATAAACACCTCCGAGATTGCCCGGTTGAACAGAAATCAGGCCAGGGATCCTGGCTCACTGTGGGGAGTACTATGGCTTGGGACACTAATCCACAGACGCCCCAGACACGTGAACGTCAGTGGCCAGCAGACCCCAAGGAACCATCAGATGAGACTGAAAAGCCACTTCGGTCAAGCCCCCACCCCAACTCCCAAACGGTTGGCCAACAGAGCAGGGGTGGGCCAACATCCAGGCAAGGGGCAGGTCTGAATAACCGGCCAGCACCAGTGCTCCCCGCACCCTCTTTAAACCCTGTGTGCACCGGGCTCTTGGGGCCCCTTGCTCAACCCTCCTCTACCCAAAGGCGCACAAACTCCAAAGAGAGTTTGCTTTAAGTTAATCAGTGGCACGGCAAGGGGCGGGGCGGGGGAGGGGTACCCACAGCCTGGCAGAGGTTTCCTCAGATTTGTTTACTAAAAAGGAAATGGAGAAATAACCCCTACCCCCATAGCCAAATTACTATGCCTCTTTAATTATCAGGTGATATCCCTATTCTTTTAAATCAGTTTACCCCACACACACACCCGAGTCTTGATGGAGTATCTGTTCTCCGTAGACTTATTACTTAAGTTGGCCTGAGAGAAAGCAACAGTTTGCAAAGACCTCGGGAAGAGGCTCCAGCAAAGGCAGTCACTGGACTCGGGAACTTAGAATCAAGGGTTGCTGAGCGCTCCTCTCAGCAGCGTTGCCAGCCTGAATTCCAACTCTCAATGAGAGACAGCGCCACTCTAGGGAACCAGAACCTGGGGGTTTGGGAGAAGCTGCGGGTTGGGGAAATTTATTTACGAGGCTTTGCGAACTCATGACTTGTGTTCCAGGTACACCTGGGGGGGGGGGGGGCAGTGCTTTACCAGATGTGTGTTCTCTTCTGTCTCCCAAAGTAAATTCTAACTTCACATTTAAGAGTATCGTATTAGCGACAACTTATACTCTCCGTGCTCATCTGGAAGATGCCACATGGAAAAAAAATGAGGCCCATCTTCCGGCAAAATCTAGAGTCTGAGTGGAGAGAGGTGCATCTGAGAGGCCAGGGCATTGTTTTGGGTTTTATTTTGTTACTCACAGGATCCTCTGCAGCACCTGAATGAAGATTTGAACCAAATCCACCCAGGCAAAGAAATGCCTGGGAGCCCGGAGAGAGACAACCGAGCCTTGAAAAGCTAGGTTCTCTGAGAATTTCCCTTAAATTGCATTCCCCATGTTGCCTGAGAATCTAGTGAGAGATTCTCTTTCTGGGTTCCCAGTCAAAGTGGGGGTGAGCTACCCTGTTGAGTGAAATCTACCCGCGCGGGTGCGCTCAGCTCAGACAGCAAAACTCTGCTGAAGCCGCACCAGGCTTTTCCCACGCTGCTTTCAAACCCAGGGCCAAGCAACCTAGGGGTGATCTACTAGCGCCTTGCACAAAGGCAAGCTTGGAAGTTGGAGGCATAAAGGGCCCTCTCAAATTAAAAAAAAAAAAAAAAAAGAAAAAAAAAGATAAAAAGCTACCAGGGCATCTCTCTCTAGTCGTCCGTACACTCTGTATTTCGTTCTATTGCGCTGTTTTTCTTGCGTCTGCAACCGCCTATCCCAAATGTCTGCTCCGGGGCAGGAAGTAGCAAGAACCGGGTCCTCCTGCCGGGAGGAAATTTAGCAGGGCTGGAGGGCAGAGCGCAGGAAACCGGCCTGAGGCACTTTGGAGGAATCCCCAGGTGCACCTCTCTTGGCCAACAAGGCTCTCACCAGCAGCAGACACAAAAAGTTAGTCTGGGGAATTTCTACAGCGCTGCTCAGGGACTTAGAGACCCCGAGAACACCCAAGATAACAGCCCACCCACATGCCTGACACCCCCTTTACCCTGTGTGACTAGACAACCCTAAGTTTCCCTACCAGAGCACGCGGGGAAAGGGGGGTGGGCACACAGCCTACCCAGTCCCGAGCACTGCTCTCAACGCCTCTGACCGGTTCAAGTTCGCGCAGAAGGGCCGCAGGAAGCTTCGGGGATCACAAGCCGGCTGACCCGAACATCCTGAACTCTGGTAGGGGCGAAGATGGAAGAACCTTTCCTAGCATTGTTCCCATCCTGGCCCGTAGCTAAGATAAAAGTTCTAAAGAAAATACAGCAGATGAGATTGGATCTTTTTCTAATATCAACCATGAGCAGGGACGCCAACGGGATAGCAGTAGTCACAGCTGGGGGACAGACAAGGCGATGAGCTAATCCTGAGCACAACCTTGCATTTGGCACTCTGCTGGGCGGGAATGGAGTTGAGGTGTGCTTTTAAGTTATGCCAGCAGTTTTGGAGCTGCCCAAATCCTAGGCAGCTGCTGGATCCGGCTAGGCTTTCGGGGTGCTCACAGATTCTAACATCAACTGCTTTCCCGTGATCTTTTCTTGTATATACTTGGCTCTCCTAGTCAATCTTTTCCCTCTACACGGGAGCATTAAAGTGTGTGACAGTTCGAACAACCTAGAACCGGGGTGCCCAGTGAGAGATTCCGTTCCTCAGAAAGATTATCCCGTGCTACCCTTTAGCGTTAAGCTGTCCCAGCTCCAGTTAGTTCTGAGCTAGAAGTCTCTACTTAATTAGAAGTGGCCAGTTAGATATTGATGAGAAAGCACCGTCCGCCTAGTTCAAGTGCCATTAACTTTTATGCTTGCTCCTAAGGAGGAGGCCGACGCACCGCTCGGCAGCCTGTAGCAGGCTGAGACCTGCCAGCCGGACTGCCCTGGTGTTCATGCCGCAGGAGGCTATAGCCCGAAGGGTCAGCCCGAGGGTGGAAAAGCCGGGAGCTGGAACGCCGCACCGCAATTCCTTACCTTGCATGTTTTCCGGCATCTGCCCCTGTTCCCCATGCGATCGGGCCAGTCCTGGGGCTTCCGTCTCCACTTTGGGCAGCATGACAAGGCGGCAGCGGGCGGGAATGGGGTGTCGGTGTCGGTCCGGAAGCCCAGCACCTGGACACGGGCAGCACAGATTCAACTCCGGCAGGCAGAGAGAAGGGGTGACCAGCGTGCCCGCTCACCCACCCGGTTGCCAGAGCTGCCAGGCAGGACTTCAGAGTCCTGTCCGGTCTCGCAGCTTCAGAGCTCTGTTCCTGAGCTGCGTGCAGGAGATCCCCGCTACCAAGCCACACTAAGAAGAGCGCGTCCTGCTGCCGGGATTCTGCTCCGCGAAGGCGGAGGCAGCGACGGCCAGGGCGCTGCTGCCCGGGACAGCGATCTGTGCGCGCCGCGCTCCGGAGGGCAGCAGAGGCGGCCGCCAGCTGCTACTGCTGCAGCGGCTGAACGGCTCCAGGACTCCTTCCCCTCTTTGCACCCGCCCTCTGGCTCAGCAGCGGCAGGGGTCTCTCTCTCTCTCTCTCTCTCTCTCTCTCCTCACTTCTCTCCCCACCTCTACTGTCCTCTCCTCTCTTCTCCGCCCCTTTCCCCTATCTCCTTCAGCTCTCAGTCTCTCTTGCTCGCTCGCTAACACTAACGTGGAGTTCTGAAGTTCCAACCTTCCACTCCCCTCCGGTCGAGAGCCGCCCTTTCCAGCCCCGAGGGTGACAGTGCAGGGAGGAAAGGGGAAGACCCGCTGGAGATGAGAGGTAAGGGGGGGGGGGCGGCGGTGAGAGGTGAGACAGTGAATGGGGACGCAGGTTCCGGACTCAGGTCGGACTCTAGTGGCTAGCCAATAAGGAAGCTCTGGCCTCGGTGCGTGCCCCAACCTCTTCACCCCGCCTTAATCTACTCCCACCTCACCGTGGCCTGGGGCGGGAGGGGTGGGTGGGGGATGTAAATGCTACTAGGTTTCTAGCTCTGGAGGAGAAGCGACCTGTGTCTGAGCGAAGCAGCCAAGGATGTGAAGGCTGAGAGGCCATTTGAAAGAGCTGAGGGGAGGCAAGGAGAAGGTTTGGGGTGTGGGAATGTCGGTGTTCCTCGCGTGAGTGTGAGGAAGAGGAGACCCGATAGGAGTGAAGTGCCCACTTAAAGCACCTAGAAAAGAAAAAGTATGTTGAATTTATAAATGGAGGGTGGTTGATCCCGCTATCAAGGTCCTCCTTGTGCAAAGAAATCTGAGAGGCACGCCAGGAGTGGCTGGGCCCTAAAGAACCCAAGGGCTAAGGCTCACTTTGGGGACAACTAAAGTCACTGAGATTTCTCTCACTTGCATAGACTTTGAGTAAATGACAGCCACTCCTGCCTCCCCAGGCTGCTCTCCAGCCCAGCTCCCCGATAATGAAAAGCACTTCAATTGAGTCCAAGATTATCTTGGTGAAAGACTTCCTGATTTCAGTGAGCGCTGAGTTTCCACGCAGGATGGAGAGATCAGCCCCGGCTTTAAAGTCCCTTTGGTGGGGCTCATCCACGCGACACCTCCAAGGCAGCATGTTTTAAAGAAAAAGTTTAAAAGAACCATCTGATAATGCAAGCTCTTAAGCCACCAGTCCAGCCACATCTTCAAAGTTTTCAGATCCCTTCCCAACAAGATGAAAAACATTCTCCCTAGCCTCCAAGACACACGCAAAAAGCTCCACATATCCAGGGTCTGCCGTGCAACTAGGCAATTATCAGAGTCCACCCACAAGGGGGTGAATTTGAATCTCAAAAGATTTGAATTCATTCTATTTAAATAACATAGAGATTGTATCAACTGCCCAGTCTAGTAGTTAATGAATATTAAATTATTCCCATCATTGCTTACACTTTTATTTGAGATGGCTATCCACTGTTGGCTGGCAATTCAAATATATTGACTCTCTAAATTGATATATATATATATGTATTCAGAATCCAAATTGTTTAATTTTCAGTTTTTGCAGCATCTTTAGGGATCTTAGAAAACCAATGTGGCCCAAGCAAGTCCCTTCTAGCTACAAAACTTGAGGGGGACTGCCATTTAGTTTGTATGGGGGAGAGGGCTGAATTTGCTTGTATTAGTGATCATTAAGCTCAAGTTTTCATGTTAGTATCAAGTCACAATGTCAATACACTTTCACTATTGCCCGTTATTTAAGACATCACTTTGAATTACAGATACATATTCTTACATAGTTCAGAAAGGGAGCAAATCTCCAGGCTCAAATCATTACTCAGCGCCTGCCTTACTTTGGAGTTCAGGCAAACTTAAGAAACCAGTTTTATTTCAAAGTTTTTAAAACAGCCTCCACTCGCTGCAACTCTCAGAGTTCTATTGGCCTTTGTTCATTATCGTTCTACCCACCAGCCAAGAAAGAATGCAGGGCTCCAGCTTGGTCTGCACTTTGGGGTACCAGAGGGGGCTCCCAGACTTTCAGGAAACTGGAATAAAACTCTGGCAGACCCTTGTGATCTTATTGTGGCAAAAGAAAGAAAAAAGAAAGAAAAAGAAAAGGCAAGGAAAGAAAGAAAAAGAGAAAGGAAGGACGAAAGAAAGAAAGAAGCCAGAAAGAAAGAAAGAAAGAAAGAAAGAAAGAAAGAAAGAAGCCAGAACCAGAAGCTGAGGCCGACCCAGTGAGGTGATCTTTGCGGTGGCGCTTCTGGGCCAGAAAAGACTTGATTGGGCCAAGTTAGTGGCTTCTGCACCTCCAGCTCAATTTGTGGTCCACCCACTCCAGCACTTCTTCCAAAGACAGGGTGATGGGTGCCAAAGGTCAAAGGGGGCTTTCATATCTTCCCACTGGTAGACTTTCCAAGAAAAAGCCTCACAAATGGGGGCGGGGGAGGACGGGGAATAAAGTATTGAAGACAAAGTTGAAAAGAATGTGGCCTTGGACATAAAGTCCTGCTCCTGGCCTTCCCTAGGTCTGAGGATCTCGGCTAAGCAGAGCCTCTGTCAAGCAGCCAACTAAGTGCTTCTAACGGGTAGAGATCGGAAGAATGGAGAAATTGCCTTCCTGCCAGGTGTTGTACCTACCTCCCCATCTTTAATCCCAGCACTTGGGAGGCAGAGGCAGGAGGATCTCTGTTGAGTTCGGAGTTCAGCATGGTCTCTATAGTTACTACCAGGTCACTCAGAGCTTCATAGTCTCACACACACACACACAAACTCACACACCCGACAGAATTTTCCTAGAAACCAAGGGGACTCTGACACCCACCACCTCCAGAGTAGAACGAGTTACCTAGAATCAGCCTCATTTCAGATGTCCAGGGTCTAAAACCAGCACCGGCGGCGGTTTTCAAGGTGGGGAAATCTACAGGAGCTGGGTTTTGTCAGAAATTGAAAGGCAAGCTCACGTTTTCCCCGGAGTCGTTCCTCATGTATGGGGGGAGTGGCCGAGCCTCACGCTGAAGGAGGGGTGAGGGAATCAAGCTTCCCTGATCCTTCCCAGCCCTCAGAGTGCTACCTCCCAATGCAGTCAACACTACCCCTAACGCACTCTGGGTCCTTCACCCTTCAATTCCGTTAGGTGGTAGCGACCCCGCTGAAGCAGGGGACCAGCTTGTTCTGTGACTTTGGCCGCGTCCAGCGGTCTCAAAGACTATTCCCGAAGAAGCTGAGCTCAGGGTGTCCCCCTTCCACTACCTAGGATGGTTCAAGATGCCTGTGGCTTCAAATGAGGTTTAAGAGACTAAATGGCTGGAGGAGAGAAGGTAGATGGGATGAAAGAAAGTACATCAAGACCTCTGTGACCAAAATGCGGATGCTAGCCAAGGTTAATACGGTCCCCAGAATGCATCATAACCTGGGCCTCCGCAGGAGCTATCTTTTATCAAATGCCACTTAGCCTCTTTATGGAAGCCCAGGTAGGAATTTACCTCAGCCTTCTTGTGGCAGATACTTAAAGACAAGCTCCCCATAGCTACCGTGAGCGTTCCGAATTTCTATGGCACTCCGGGGTCAACTTCTAGCAAACTTCTCCCTCCTCACCCCTCCCCCGCGCCTCCTCCTTTCCAGCAAGGGTAGTCTCCCGGGCTCGCCCTTCCCGGCTTTGACTTTGTCTTCAAGTGTTGATTGACGGTTGCAATTACAAAGGATGATAGCTCGGGGAGGCTCCCGCAGCCTTGGTGAGCGCGAGAAGCGCAGGCCTGGCATATTTTAACCAGCCTCGGCGTTCCGGGGCCGTGAGCGCCCCATTCACCCAGCTGGCTGGAGATGAGGAGGTCTCGCACTCCCCACCCACGAGGATGGAGCCGCGGGTTCTCCTCCGGTCCTCTCCCTTCCGAGGTCGCGCAGCTCGGTGGAGCACACACGGAGAACAGCCTGCCCTTGACCTGACCTAAGTGCCCGTCCGCCCGGAGCGCCTACCCAACTCCAGGCTGCAGCAGAAAAAAGTCAACATTTTCAGGACCAATTCAAATTTCCTGAGCTCTGTACAGAGTAGCAGACACCGCTTTCCCGGGCACCTGGGAAGACGAATCTTGGAGCGACCCGCCTAATTTAGCAACAAACTTACAAAACTTTATCCCTGTAAACAAAAGTCTAAGGCTTCCTCCCCAGTTCCCACTTTCTCTCCCTCTTTCTCTCTCTTCCTCTGGTGTTTTAAAAAGAAACAAGGAAAGTTACCTTTCTTGTGCTACGTATCTACGTATCATTTACTTCTCAGGCGAGGGAAGAATCCTAGGCTTTTGTGTTTTTTAAAAGTCTTCTTCACCTGGCCGCGACCGTCCAAGGAAAAAGAGAAACGAATTTATCAGCTCCTGAAGCTCGAACTTCCTTATTTTTCCCATTCCTCCCACTTGAAAGCCCACCAGAAGCAGCAAAAGTCAGCTGAGCAAACCCTGCGTTTTGCCTGCGGGCTCTGGGGATTGAACTCCCAGGCTCACGCCCTCACCCAGAGCGCTTTGTTTTCAAAAGAACTGAGCTGCGATTCAGCGCAGCTGAAGGCTCTGGAGCACCTTACGGTCGAAACTTTGCAAAACAAAACACTAGTTCGAACTGAGTCGCCTTCACCCGCCCCCTTTGAAAAATGTTTTTAAAACTCCCTTTGTGTTGCCTGTACCAAAAAAGCAACTCAGGCCCGCTGCGGGGGTGGACATCCCGCCCCCTCCCTGGGGGAGGGGAGGGCAGGTAATCAGTCAGATTTTGGGCAAATCCACTGATTCACAATCCCTTGCGGGAGTGTTCTAATAAATACCCCCTCCCGGGCTTTACCGCCTGGAAATGCAAACCCAAACAAATGTCAGAGTAATCCCTACTTTCCTACCTCCAACCCCGACGCCTTCCCATCCTCGCCCTGAAAGAAAGGAAGGGCTTTTGGAGATTTTTGACCTCCGTTTTCGGAATTTAAGGCTCTTTATATTTAAAATGATGTCACTAGGAACTGTCTTCAACTCGGGGTGGGGGGGGGGGCAAGCGCGCCTCGCATCTTCAAAGGAGATCTGGTCTCCAAAGCTTTGGGTTGAGAAAAAGACCTGGCCTATGTGGACCAGACCAAACAACACTTGGAATTGACAAGGACAGTCTGCCAGCCGGCCAAGAGGTCCGTGGTGAAATAAACTAGGCAACTGACGTTTCTCTCCTCCCTGCCTTGAGGACTAGAAACTGTCTTTTGGAGCAGGAGGCTATGATACCAATTCATCTGTATCCGACTAGAGAAGAGAGATCCCGAGCCAAGGAGGATCCTTGGGGGAATCCTGCTGCTTTCTCAGATGAGACCCTACTTTGAGACTACCTGGCCGGGCGGTGGCGCACGCCTTTAAGCCCAGCACTCAGGAGGCCAGAGACAGGCGGATCTCTTTGCCTTTGAGGCCAGCCTGGTCTACGGAGCCAGTTCCAGGACAGGCTCCATTCAGAGGATCCCTGGCTCAAAACACCAGAGAGACAGGAGAGAGGGAAGGAGAGATGGAGAGGCAGCAGGAAGAGAGAGAGACACTACCTGACTCCAGATAAGACAGCCATTGGCATAGTGTACAGGGAATACAGAGAAGAGCAATTTAAACCGTTTGTCTGAAAAAGGTAGTGTGAAAAAAATCCAAGACTTATCCCTTGAGCACGGGGCACCCAACTAGGGAGGGATAGTTTTGGAGGTGGGAGGTTAACAAAGGCTTCACAGTTGGGGGTGCGGAAATGGGGAGGTGACCCAGCAGTTAAGAACACTGCTTTTCCAGAGCACCCACATGGCATCTCACAGCCATCTGTAATTCCAGTCCCAGGGGGTCAAAGGCCGTCGTTTGGCATCAGGTACACATACACAGGAAGACATATAGGCAAAACACTCATATAAATACACATTTTAAAGGTACACAATTCAATTAAAGGTACACAATCCAAAGGCTATTAATGCTCCTCTACACAGAAAGCATTTGTGTGTGTGTGTGCGGAGATCAAAAGATGATGGGATGGACCTGGGGGTGCAGCTTAGTTGTTACAACACCTTCCTATCAATGTGCCATCCTCAGAATCACAAAAGAAAGACTAAGGGTGTAGAGGCCAGCTGTGGCCAGACAGTAATCCCAAATTTAGGAGGCTGAAGAACAAGAATTGTCTAGCTTTTGAGGCTAGAATTCATTACCCACTGAGAACCTATCTGAAAACCTAGAGAACCAGAGTAGAAAGAGTGAACAAGACTTGAGGCAAAATCAGTAATGTCTTTTGCAGAGTTTCTGGTCTAGAAAACCTGGAAGGTTTTAAGAACTAGTAGTGGGTATGGCTGGAGGTGGTGGTGCACGCCTTTGATCCTGGCACTTGGGAGGCAGATCTTTGTGAGTTCGAGACCAGCCTGGTCTACAATGTGAGTTCCACTAAGTACAGCCAAGGCTATTACACAGAAAACCCCTGTCTTGAAAAGAAGAAACTAGCAGTGGGTTGTTCTGTGTGTCCCTACAGAGGTCCTTTGAGGGGGTGATATTGAGCTGAGAGGGGAAAAGGCACTGTTCAGATTCTGAGCAAGGAATCCAGCACTGGAGTGATAGCACTGGATTTATCAAAGGTGTTTCAAAACTAAAACTGTAGCCAGGTGGTGGTGGTGGTGGTGGCCCACACCACCAAAACAAAAACCAAAACAAAAAATAAGTAAATAAAAGTGTCATTCATTCTCATTTATCTCTCTCTCTCTCTCTCTCTCTCTCTCTCTCTCTCTCGTCCAGGCTAGCCTTGAACTCACATCTACCTGCCTCCTGAGTGCTGGGATTAAAGGCGTGCGCCACCACTGCCCAGCAAGATTTTTTTCTAAATACAGTCACTTAAGTGACACGCCACCATCCTCATACTGACTCTGTAACTAGCATAGACACTGTGAATTTCCTTAGCTTATTAGGCATGCAGTGACCATGTGCACTGCCACAGTGCGCCATACAATAATAACCCTAGGCCAAGACCATCAATACTTCCTTCTCCTCTCCCTTTACCTCCATAGAGGTTATGGCCAATTTCTTCCTCATTTCACCCCTTTGAAGTCTACAGGGATCCAAATCTGATTCCCATTACAGGACTCAAAAGAATACTTATAAGCATCTTTTGGGATAGTCTGGCCAACTTCAAGTCATAGTCCCTGAATACCAGTGGAAGGAAGGGAGAGAGGGAGCAGATGGGAGATACTTCGCTGGGGTGCTATTTACAGCCCACTCTGCTGACATTCAGTGAGCTTTTGTAAAGCAAGCAAACTTTCAGAGTCTATAATTTAATTAGAAAATGGGCTTCACAGAGTAACTGGCGCGGAAGACTGGAGCGCAGCATGCCGTGCTGTGGCTCTCTTTCCCCTAACTTCACCCAAGCTCCTCTTGGCCTAGGAACTGAAATAAGAAGGTACTCACCTTCTAGGATAACTAAAAATAGATCCTCTGGGGGAGCAGCGTCAGCTAAGTTGTCCATCTTGTAGGGCTTGACACCATCCTTTTTTTTTTTTTTTTTGTTTGTTTGTCGAGACAGGGTTTCTCTGTAGCTTTGGAGCCTGTCCTGGAACTCCCTTTGTAGACCAGGCTGGCCTCGAACTCACAGAGATCCTCCTGCCTCTGCCTCCCAAGTGCTGGGATTAAAGGCGTGCGCCACCACCGCCCGGCGACACCATCCTTATTGATTATAACATTATCCCTAGATAAAATTGCTTGCCAGAAAGCTAAAGTTATTTGTAGTTTTAAAAGTTAGAGATCTTTGCTTATCAATCAAAACATAACCGAAAGACTATTTAAAAAAAAAAAGAATAATACCACTTTTGGGTATATATCCAAAGGATGCTCAATCGTGCCACAAGGACATGTGCTCAACTATGTTCAAAGCAACTTTGTTTGTCATAGCCAGAACCTGGAAACAACTTAAATATCCCTCAATCGAAGAATGGATAAGGAAAATGTGGTACATTTACATAATGGAGTACTACACAGCAGAAAAAAATAACGATAGCTTGAATCTTGCAGGAAAATGGATGGAACTAGAAAACATTATTTTGAGTGAGGTAACCCAGACCCAGAAAGACAAATATCATATGTACTCACTCATAGGTGTTTTTAAAACATAAAGCAAAGAAAGCCAGCCTACAAAACACAATTCCAGAGAACTTAGACAACAATGGGGACACTAAGAGAGACTTACATAAATCTAATCTACATGGGAAGTAGAAAGTAGAGAAAGACAAGATCTCCTGAATAAATTGGGAACATGGGGACCTTGGGGGAGGATTGAAGCGGGGAGGGGAGAGACAGGAAGGGGAGCAGAGAAAAATGTAGAGCTCAATAAATATCAATTTTTTAAAAAAGACATAGCATTGATCAACTTGTCTGGTGAGTTCAGATTATCTGGATTTCCCAGGCACAACCTCTAAAGATACTGTTGCTCATATCCCCCTACCCCATCCCGCCCCAAGGACCTTGTCTCCTAACTCCCGAATTCCCTTGAAGCCAAATGAACCACTCAGAGAAGTTTTCCTTCCAACAGGGTGAGGATCAATGGAGCATCAGGCAGAGAAATAGGTCCATATGGGGGATGATGGGTATTATCTAATAGACAAAAGTGTCTATCTGATGCCTGAGGAGTCTGTTCCTGAGGCTTTCTCTAGCTCAGCTCAAGTCCAAGACTGAACTCAAGATAACCCCAGCCCATGGGCCAGGTAGAGAGGTCAAATAAAGAACAAAGCATGCCAAGTCTTTCTTTGCTTTCTGAGTTTGTGTTTTTTTTTTTTTTGTGTTTCAAGTCTCAAAGATGTACAACTGAATTGAGCTTGGCGTTGGAAACCCCATCTAGACTCTACCGTGGGCTGCGTGCTGCTCGCCAACTCCTAACTACCCAAGCACAGCAGCTGCCCGAGGGTGGGGTAGCCATTCTTCTCAGTCGACCTGCCCTGTGCAGTGAAAAAGATTCGTGGATAGGTCTAGGCTCCTTCAGGAGTGGGCTCAGCCTCTTCAAGTTCCTTCCTCACCGCCCTTTATAGACAGCTCCACGCTGCCAAGACTTCCAGAGTAATCCTTGGTGACTAGATGCGCATTTGGGTGCCTATAGCTGCTGAGACGTGGCCCACGGGAACGCCCTCCAAACCACTGTAATGCCAGGAGAAGTATGCCTAGATGGCTGCAATGACAAAGCAGGAAAGGTTCTCCCCGACCCCCATCCCCTCTCTTCTCCCTCCCTTTTTTTGTCCTTCCTTTTTTCCTAACAGCCCCCCCCCCCCCCCGCCTCACCCCCTGCCCAACTCCTTTGGGAAAATTTAGCGACATTTGTCCTTTTTGTATCTGGCAACCTGAAGGGCCTAGGCAAGCCTGGGGTTTGAGTGTAAGCTGGTCCAGGGCAGACAAGGCTCCTCCTGTACTATTCTGGGCTGCTAAGACCCCAGCAGCCCCTCAGTTTTGGTTCCAACGCGCCTCAGTCCCAGCACAGCTTTTGAGCTGCTACTGCTGGTGTTGTGGGTGAAAAACAGCTCCTTTTCGACTGCTGTCTGCTCTCTGCTTGCTGCCTTCCCATCTTAAATATCCCTATGGAGTAGGGACCCCGCGGGGGTAGTACGTGTGTGGTCCTGAGCCCGCCTTCCCTGTCCCTGATAGCCCTGTGCGACGGAGCCCGGGTAGCCTTGCGCGGGTGCGAGCCTCGGGCGCGAGCCGTCTCGCCAGGGAGTCCGCACACCCGCTGCGTTCCCGCGTGAGTGCACCGCTAGAGGTGGCCTCAAAGTTTGCAAGCTCGGTGCCCGGCTTTCCTGACGTCTGAAGAGCCACATGCTCTCTCTGGCACTCGCTTCCCAGTATTTTCTTTTTCTTAAGTACAGAACGTTTCTTGGTGAACATTTCCTCAATTGATACTTTAGGGCGTAGCTGAACCATAAAAAAAAAAAAAAAAAAAAGCCCGCAATCACTGCTTTAGGTGGAGTCAGCTGGCTGCCCCCAGGGAAGAGGACAAAACAGCCTGGGCTGAGGACCACTGATAGAGCAAGGACCTCGGAGAAGGGCTGACCCAGGCTCGGGTCCAGAGGGAGCCAAGGTGGTCAGGTCACAGCCCACTAGAGATTGCTTCCCTTGCCTTTAATTTAGGATTAACTGAAGGTAATCATTGCGGCAAAATTACCAAACTTAGTACTCTACATAAATGTGTGTGTGTGCCCTTTTAAAAATGAGTCAGGCATGGTGGTTCACACCTAGAATTCCAGCTTTGTGGAGGGAGACAGGGCAGGTTCCTGGACAGCCAAAGCTACTTAATACAACCCTCTCTGTCCAACAAGAAAACAAAACAACAAAACCCCAATCCCCAATCCTCCCACCCACTCCCCAAACAATGACAAAACCCAAGATCCTTCACTTGTCTAGGTTTGTAGCACAGTGATAGAGGGCTTGCCTTTCTAGGCAAGGCACACGCCTTTAATCCCAGCACTTGGAAGACAGAGGCAGGTGGATCTCTGTGAGTTCGAGGCTGAGGCCAGCCTGGTCTACAGAGAGAGTTTCAGGACAGGTTCCAAAGTTACGCAGAGAAACCCTAACTCAAAAAACAAATAAAAAGAAAATTAAGGAAGAAGGAAAGGAAGGAAGGAAGGAAGGAAGGAAAAAAAGTAAGTAAAAAGCAAGTGCCCAAACTCTAGGTTCCACTCGTCCCTGGGAGGACATGTGCCGATAAGAGCAAGTCACGCTCATAGTGCACCCCCACCTGAAATCCTTTAATAATAGTCTGGCTTTATTTCTCATGACTGACTTTGATTTGCTAGGGGCAATTTTTTCCCCTACAGTTTCACAGTGAATGAGACATCTCACTGTCCAGTACCTTGAAATGTCCCCATGCCGAGAAACTTTGTGGTAGGTCACTTAATCAATGGCCAATCAATGCCATCTGCTTGTTTCAAACTGTTCAAAATTTCACTTAGTATGGTTGATTCTTAATGATCAGAAATTGTTAAGGCTGAAGTAGATGATCAAAACTTTATTTCCTTTCTGTGTTTCAAGTGTAAAAAAAAAAAAAAGAACTTTATTTCCTGCTGGGCAGTGCTGGTGCAAAACCTTTAATCCCAGCGCTTGGGAGACAGAGGCAGGTGGATCTCTGTGAGTTTGAGGCCAACCTGGTCTACAAAGCAAGTTCCAGGATAGCCAGGGCTACACAAAATAACCCTGTCTTGAAAAACAAAAGCAAACAAACAAAAATCCCTGTATATTCTAGCAGAGTTGACCTAATATAATGACATTCCCAAATACCGGACACAATAAATGATATTCATGTGTTGAAATACACATTTGCTTCATTGAACTTCAAGAAAAGTAAATGTACAATATATGTGTGGGCTTATTGTGTGCTTTTAATAATTACCATAGGAAAGGAGGTGCATTAAAACTCAAATCCATTAGTAGTAGCAAAAGCAGCCAGACGATAAAGAGAGTGGCTTCCTACTTACCAATAGCTGTAAATCCATGCTTAAGAAATTCTTGACAATCCCCAGTATCGGAACTAGCAGACATTCTTAGCGAGATTATTGGCAGTCCTTTGGTTTACAGCAGAAATCATGGAGCGTGAGAAAGATTGCAGCTTGTCATATTTTGTGACCTTGGGAAGGAAGCCTCAGACTACAGTAACCCTCATTCCCTTAGTGAAAGTTAAGAAAAGGGGGAAAAATCCAGAATTCAGAAAGGTCTGAGCCCATGTTCCCCTGGACTCTGTACTTTTTCCAGCATTAGTGACCTGCTGTAAACCATGTCTCCAGTTTCATGATGGTTCCTAATCAGAAGAAAGGAAGCTTTCCATAGGCTTTGACTGGTCATGTGACCCTGGGCAGGTTGATAAGAGGACCCTGTTATAAAGTGACAGCAAGAGAGATAAGAACTCTTGGCAGATAATGGCAAAGAAATGATTAACTCAGAAAAGGAGGGGTTCTCTGCAGCCCAGAGAGTGGAAAGTTGTAAATCTGAGGGGTCAGGAGATCACACTTAGTGGGTAAAACTCCCAAACTACCTTAAATTCACTAACTAAACCAGCCTGTCACATATCCCTTTGATGTCACTGCTTCTCGTTGCGGAGGCGGACAGACAGGCCTCTTGTGACCTCTGCAAATACATTTTAGATGATAACATTGGCTGACATTAATTCCTGAAATGATGACTCCAGATATGATTGACACTTTGAAACTCTACAGGTAGCACTTCCAAGCTCCTGGCCATTTACTTATGATCTGATCAATTGACTTTAAAAAAAATCCTGTCTATTCATTAGATGAGAAATTAACTATCTTGTTTATATACTAGTCATGGGCTAGGGCCATTTCTTCCCCTTCATAAGTTAAAACTTACACCTTGAGATAGAATCTGGGCAAAACGATAAATGTACACTGTATTTTCACAAATAGTTTTGTATATATGAATACGTATGTGTTCATTAGGGAGGGATTCACTTGTGTGTGAAGGAGGCTGATGGTACACTGTGTATACAAATTTATGGACAGAATATAACCTTGGGTTTTTCCCTTAGGTAATGTCCTCTTTGTTTTGTTGGGTTTTTGTTTTGTTTTGTTTTTCTGAGACAGGGTCTCCCTGATTGACCTGCAACTTGCTATGTGAATAGGTTGGCCTCAGACTCACAGTGATACACCTACATATCCCTCCAGAACGCTGACATCAAAGGTGTGGACCACCATGCCTGGCTGTAAACTTCTTTTATGAAAAAAAGAAGTACACATTTTAAAAATAAAAATGGTTCTTGTTTTTTCATTGCATTTAGTCAAATTTCAGTCATGAAAACTGTGTGAGTTCTGGGACAACAAAAGCTACATAGTTACAAGGTGAGAGTGTCTCCAACAGAACAAACAACAAACACAAAAAGAAAGGAAAGAAACACAGTGTGGAGTGGTGGTTCTCCTCCTGTGAGTCTCTACCCCCTTGGGTAGCATGGCAGTTTTACTGCGTCTCAGATATCCACACTGCCATCAGCAGCAGTAGCATACTTACAATTATAAAGTAACAAAGAAAACAATGTTATGGTTGGGGCGGCCACAACAGGAGGAACTGTGATAAAGGGTGGCAGCATCAGGAGGGTCAAGAAGCCCTGGGCTAGGGGTCAAGTGATCTGGGGCCGAGGACCCTTCTATATGACCATTTTCTCTTTGCCTGTTACAAAAGGGCCGCTGGAGTTCCCACCGTCACTACTAGGGGCAAAGGGAGAGAGAAGAGAGAAGGGTCGGTCTCTGCAAGGACACTCCCTCGAGGTGGCTAAGGTGGCGTGCAAGCTTGGAATTGCGTGTGTAGAGGCAGGGTGTACACACGCACTAGACATTTAGTTACAAGACAGCCAGGAAGAGGATCCCGTATTTTAATTTCTAATAATAGAGCATCTTTAAAGCTTTTTAGTTTTATGCGTAGAAATGTTTTGCCTGCAAAAACCAAAAGGTATGTGTCTGGTGCCCAAGGAAATTAGAAGAGAACTTTGGATCCCCTGCAAGAAGAGTTACAGATGGTTGTGAGCCACCATGTGGGTGCTAGAAATCCAACCTGGGCCTTCTGGAAGAACAGTCAATGGTCTTAACTGCTGAGCCATCTCTCCAGTCACAAAAGCACAAATTTTTAAAAAATCACAATGTGGAGGCTTGTCATTTCTTTTTTGTTATTTTCTTTGAACAATCAAACAACAGCATGACACACCAGAAATCTCCTGTGTATATGTTAAAGGACACAGTGTTCTGCGAAGCGGCTGTTTTCTTCCAAAGTATTTAGGAAAGTTGTTGTTGGTGGTGGTGGTAGTGGTGGAGGTGCACACATTTAATCCCAGCACTCAGGAGGCAGAGGCAGGTGAATCTCTGTGAGTTCGAGGCCAGCCTGGGCTACAAGAGCTAGTTCCAGGACAAGCTCCAAAGCTACAGAGAAACCCTGTCTCGAAAAACTAAGAAAGCATAACTATGGCCAGGCAGGTTGTGACAGTGCATAACTTTATAAAGAATTCTGGGTGTTTTTTTTTTTTTAAACAGGGTTTCTCTGTGGCTTTGGAGCCTGTTCCTGGTACTAGCTCTTTTTGTTGTTGTTTTTGTTTTGTCGTCCCCCCCCCCCCCCCCCCCCCCCCCCGCCAGTGCTGGGATTAAAGGCGCGCACCACCACTGCCCACAGTGCACGCCTTTAATCCCAGCTACTGGGAGACAGGCACAGGCAGATCTCGAGTTCAGGGCATCCTGGTCTACAGAGTGAGTTCTAGACAGCCAGAGCTATGCAGGGAAACAAACAACAAGAAAGAAAACATAACTAATTTTTTTCTTGTATTATTTGTTGTATTGGTGGTTTGTGTGTGGTGGGTGTAGCTTAGAGGTAGAGGTCAAAGGACATCTTTTGGGTGTCGGTCCTCTCCTACCGTGTAGGTCCCAGGGATCAGACTCTGTAGACAGAGACTGCACTTTTGTTTCCCAGCCACCTAGATCCAAATAATCACACAGAAACTATTTCAATTACAACACTATTTGGCAAACAGCTCAGGCATATTCCTAACTTGCTCTTACATCTTAAATTAACTCATTTCTATTCATCTATGTCTCGCCACAAGGCTGTGGATTACTGGTAAGGTTCTGGTATCTTTCTTCTTCGGCAGCTACATGGCATCGCCCGGATTCCACCTATTCTCTCTATATATCTCTGTTCAAATTTCCCATCTGACTTAACTCTGTTAAACCAAAAAAACAGCTTTATTCATTAACCAGTAAAAACAACACATATATAGAAGGGCATCAGGGCTTCAGGTGTGGCATCAGGTGCTTTTACCTGCGGAGCCATCTTGCTGAACCCTAGACAACATAACGGGTCTAGTAGTTTGATGCAACTTAAAGAGACTTGCGGGATGGGGTGGGGAGATTGAAATGACTTCCGTCAGTCACTCTTTCCTCCTAGGACACTAGACACAAAGCTCCAGGAGATGTCCTATGGGTGGAAACTTTCCCAAGCTTTCTGAGAATCCAGGGGCTTTCTGGAGTTTACGGAATTCATCAGCAATGGAAGCCAAGATTTTAGCTACAAAGCTTACCACCCCTAGTCATGATTGTTTTTCTCCTTCTTTTCATTTTTTAGATTTATTTATATGTTTATTGATGTGTTGCCTGCATGTATGTCTGTGTGATGGCGTCAGAGACTGGAGTTAAAGACAGTTGTGAGTTGCCATGTGATTGCTGGGAACTAAACCTAGGTCCTCTGGAAGAGCAGCCAGTGTTCTTAACAACTGCGCCATCTCTCCAGACTTGTCATAATTATGTTTAAATGTATCTCCTGGAATGGTGACTCACAACTATAATTCTAGAACCTGGGATGCAGATGTAGGAGGATTGTCATGAGTTTGAGGCCGGCCTGGGCTACATATGAATCTCATATCTGCCAGGTATACATAGTAATACCCCATATCAAATAAATAAACAGCAACAGACCCCCCCCCCGCAAAAAAAAACCAAACAACCCAAGCACCTCCCAACCTTAGGGGTGCCTTATCAGTTAGTTAGAAGACTGATTTCTGGATGAAGTACCATTCTTTTGTTTTTGAAGCAATAAACGTTTTTTTAAAAAAAGCAAAAATTTAAAAATCCAAGAAGACTTGGAGTTTGTGAGGTCCTAGGCCTAGCAAGAAGTGACAGGTGAAGCTGGGCGGTGGTGGTGGACATCTTTAATTCCCTTTAAATCCAGCACTTGGGAGGCAGAGGCAGGCAGATTTTAGTGAGTTCGAGGTCAGCCTGGTCTATCTACAAAGTGAGTTCCAGGAGAGCCAGGACTGTTACATTAAAAAAAAAAAATCCTGTCTTGAAAAACAAACAAACAAGCCGGGCGATGGTGGTGCACGCCTTTAATCCCAGCACTAGGGAGGCAGAGGCAGGCGGATCTCTGGGAGTTCGAGACCAACCTGGTCTACAGAGCTAGTTCCAGGACAGGCTCCAAAGCCACAGAGAAACCCTGTCTCGAAAAACCAAAAAAAAGAAAAAGAAAAACAAACAAACAAAGTGACAGATGGTTAGAGTAGTGGGCACGGTAGAGTAGTGGGCATGGTAGAGTAGTGGGCATGGTAGAGTAGTGGGCATGGTAGAGTAGTGGGCATGGTAGAGTAGTGGGCATGGTAGAGTAGTGGGCACACTTCTTTCCTTAATGAACACATCAAAACCCAGGTAGTTCTGTTGTTTAAATCAGAATGCCAATGATGCTGAAGTCCCAGTTTTAATTTCTATGAAGACAAAGGTCTCACAAGGGAAAAATTTACAATATTTGTGAGATCAAGGGACACCATTAGCTCTGGCTGGGAAGAGAGGTCGGTGTTTATGCCTATGGTCTGGCCTGTCAACAGGGAAGGGACCTTTCTAAAATGGTGACGGTACAGTGGCATGCAGCGCCTGTAAGCCACTGCCTGGTTCCATGTGAGTTTTTGAAATGTGTTTTGCTCCATCAGGCGTTTGGAAGAGAATCTTTATCCAGGTAACTAAAGCACATGTATGTACGCTTCCCAGTCTTCCTTGCTCTAAGCTATGCACACTACATAGTACCCCTCTTAAACTAGCTTTTAAATGGGTATAAGTGTACATGTAATTTTTGCCTCGGCATATGAACATTTGTTGAGACACAATTTCACACAACAGTTGCTAGAATGTTTGTCTCGTATGCATGACGCTGCTGGCACACACCTGGAATCCTAGATCTTAGGAGGCAGAAGGAGTTCAGAGTCATCCATCAGGGACACATCCATCAATGAGTTTAAAA